CCCCTGTGAACGTGAAAGGAATCCACAACTTTTTAGGACATGCGGGGTTTTATAGATGATTTATCAGAGATTTTTCTCAAATCTCTGGACCCCTCACAAACCTACTGGCTAAAGATGCACCTTTTGAGTTCACCGATGAGTGTTTGAACGCTTTTCACACTCTCAAGAAAGCGCTCATCTCAGCACCAATCGTCCAATCTCCCGATTGGTCACTGCATTTTGAAATAATGTGTGATGCTAGTGACTATGTTATTGGGGCGGCCCTTGACCAAACCAAAGATAAGAAGCATCACGCAATCGCTTATGCTAGCAAAACGTTGATAGGAGCTCAACTTAACTACACTACTACCAAAAAAGAGCTTTTAGCAGTTGTTTTCGCTATTGACAAGTTTAGGTCTTACTTAGTAGGAGCAAAAGTTATCATCTACACTGATCATGCTGCATTGAAATATTTGCTCACTAAGAAAGATGCTAAACCTAGACTAATTAGATGGATACTTCTACTCCAAGAATTCGATATCGAGATAAAAGATAAAAAAGAAGTAGAGAACACTGTTGCAGATCATTTATCGCGTATGCAAGTCACTAACATACAAGAATTACCAATAAATGACTTTCTACATGACGCCATGCTACTGAAGGTGATGGACTCCAACCTGTAGTATGCAAACATTGTGAATTTCATGGTTGCAGGATATGTACCACCAAGGGAAAATAGGAGGAAACTTCAAGTCGAGAGCAGACATCACCTTTGGGATGAGCCATACCTGTATAGGGTATGTTCTGACGGATTATTGAGGAGGTGCGTGCCAATAGTGGAAGGAATACAAATCATTAAGAAATGTCATGCCGCACTATACGAAGGCCATTACAGAGTATTCCGCACACAAGCCAAAATTTGGCAGTGTGGATTCTTCTGGCCGACGATGTACGAAGACACCAAAGAATTCATCCGAAGGTATCGGAAGTGCTAGATTCATGGGAGTATCACCGCTCGCAATGCAATGCTCCTCCATTACAACCTACAAATGGAGATATTTTATGTATGGGGCATTGACTTTGGGGCCATTCCAAAAGTCCCAAGATTGCGAGTACATCCTTGTCATCGTCGACTACGTATCCAAATGGGTGGAAGCATTGCCATGCAGAGCTGCTGTTGCCAAGCATGCAAGGAAGATGTTCCATGAAGTGATCTTCCCTCACTTTGGAACACCAAGGATGGTGATAAGCGATGGGGGATCTCACTTCGTGGATAAGACCTTCTGAGCATTCCTGAAGGAACTTGGATCAAAGCACAACATAGCCACACCCTATCATCCTCAAACAAGCGGTCAGGTAGAGACTTCCAATAAACAAATCAAAAATATCATGCAGAAGATGGTCAATGAGATGGGAAAAGGATGGAAGAACAAGCTTCCTGATGCACTCTGGGCATACAGGACAGCTTACAAAACCCCCATCGGCATGTCACCGTACCAGCTAGTATACGGAAAGAGCTGCTACTTGCCAGTTGAGTTAGAGCACAGAGCTCACTGGGCAATTAAGAGCTGGAATATGGATGTGAAACTAGCCAGCAGAAATCAACAAAAACAAATAGCCGAGCTAGAAGAATGGAGGGAGAAGGCTTATCATAGTGCCAAGCTCTACAAAGAGAAAACCAAGAGATGGCACAATCACCAAATCAAGCAAAAAGAATTCAAAGAGGGAGACAAGGTTCTACTATTCAACTCCCGAGTCAAGCTCTTCGGTAAAGGAAAACTACGCAGCAAATGGAAAGGACCGTTCACTGTCATCAACACATCGCCACATGGCACGATCACAATTCAAGATGATGACGGTAATATCTTGAAGGTAATGGTCAACGTTTAAAAGTTTTCCTAGAGCCTTCATGCAAATTTGAAAAAGAAATTGATGTAATAAATTTAGTTGATTTTGACAAATTAGAATAAAACTCTAAAATAAATTCAAATGAATTTACTTTTAATTTAACCAAATTGAAACAAAATCTAAATTAATTTTGACTAAATAATTTATCAATGACCTTTTTACCCTCACTAAATGCTAGATCACATGCATACACCACTCTTTATCTCATATCATGTGGCATAAACATCTTGGGATATTCTTGATGCACCTTGATTTCATTTGGATGACACAATCATTGCGCAATCATGTAGTTATCCTGCTCAATAAAATCCCAAACCTGTATTTCTTGAATCTGCACACATACATGTTTGGGCTGGCAAAAGCACGACCATGGCGGTGCACCTAGGGTGCGGGTGCACCCATGGTGCGGCCGCCCCCCTGCTGGCTCATCTGCCCCCCGGTCTTCGGCCATTCGCTCATTATGACGTTTAATGCTTGAATCCTGAGGTGTGGCGGTACATTCATTTTGTTTCCATTGCAGTACAGGCCCCAAGTCCTATAAGTAGCACCCTCTTGGCCTCTCTTCCTCTCACACAAGCACCACTAGCTCTTCTCTACCCCTCCTCTCTTTGTTGCAAGATCAACCATGACTGGCCTTGTTTCCCGCACTAGCTCAAACACCACTTTCGCCCTTAGTGGAATGCCCGAACCAGCCAGCGAGCTCCTACTGGCTAGCGAGTTCATTATGGAGGAGAGGGCGCTCACCTTGGTGCCTCTAGCAATCATGCCACTGCCGAACAGCGGCACAAGTGGCGGCACCAACATGAGATCCATGGCACATACCATGGCGCCTCGCGGTGGCGCCAAGGTCAAACATGCGGCGCCAACCAAATGGACGTCCACCGGCACCATCGGGCTCAAGAGGAAGGCGCCCGAAGAAGGCAAGCCAAGTCATCATCAAGGCGAAATCTATAGGGTTGTCTTGTAACGCCTTCGAGCGACATAGTTCACCACTCTTATTCTGGTCCCTCATCTTAGCACCCCCTTCCCGGCTCGTGCTTCACCATTGTGCGCATAAGAAAGCCCGGAGGTGGGTACGGGAAGGCTCTCATGTCCAAGCTTACTCCTAAGGAAAAGGAGCAAGTGGAGTCATCCTCTCAGCCACTTAGAATCAAGCGGGTTACGACGCTGACCACCGTCCGGTGCCCCCTGCTCTTTTTGAGAGTGGTGAGGAGGAGGCACCACCTAAGGGTCCTACCATCGCCTCGCTTAGCGCCGCAAACAAAACCTTGCGCGAAGAGGTTAGGAGCGTCAATGCTCGCTTGGCTGAGGGTCTCATCAAGATCAGAGATCTTGAAGATGACATCAATAACCTTCGCTGCGGTATATGCTAGAAAATCACTAGGCTAGCGAAGGTGGCAGGGGTGGCGGACTTTCTCGATCAGCACTTTTAGGCCACTCCCGCCAAATAATTAGGCGCATCTTTTAAATTCCTATAATTATTTCAGTCATTTTTATCATGTAATGCACCAGTATCAAGTTTGATAGTTCAATAAAGAATTCATTGCATATTATTAGAATTGTTGTCTCCACTTGTTTTTGTGCTCCCTTCTTTGTCTCTAAATAAAAAATAAAAACAGGTGCAAAAACAAGTGTGGGGGACACGATCCACACATGCATTTCTCTCCAAAAATATGGACAAAAGAGCAGCATTTCCAAAATCAGTTTGTGCACTCTCACTCCCTATGTCTAAACAAAAGATAAAATTTAAACAAATTAAAATATGAATGTTTAAAAATGCTCCAACTCCATTCTACCTTTTGATTAAAATTTGCATACTCTTTATTCCTCGCAAAAATTCCTATGACTTGTGAACAACTTATCATAGGGACCCCATTTTTATCTGAGTAATTAGAGTATGAGATATAGAAGGATGACATAAAACTTACTCTCTCATGCAAAAGTACATGGGATTTATTTTATAAAACCATAACTCAAATAGCATGCTCCTCAATGATAAAAAAATCCTACCAAGGCCATATATGATCATACATGACTTAAAGCTTTCTACATAAGCCACTTACTTTGTGTTGAGTTTTGTCAAGTTCTGTGACCCTTGTTGAGAGATTCTTCGTGCTCCCAAGATCAAAATCACGTACACGCCATATACAATTGCTACTTCTACATTAGAAGTATGCAAAAACATGCCATCCATCACCACAAAATAAATACTCCATGCTCTAAATATATGATCTCTCTAAGCATGTTCCTAGCAAAAGAGATATAAAGGCTATGCAAAAAGTATTGAAAAAAATATATACATGAGCACATGAAGGCTCATAATGAAGAAAGAAAAAAAGAAAAAAATATAATAAGATGATAGCCATGTCTCAAAATAAAAAGCTAGAGAAAAAGATCATATCAAACAAAAGGAGTATAGTTCTACCATATACCACACACATGCACAATTTTTATCTAAGAGTACGACGCTTCTCTCCTTGGTTCTAGGATTTGACCATACAACATATGCAAGATAAGTGTACCACACTTTTCATGCCTACCCAAAAGCTCCATATAAACCCCTTGACAAGTCTTTAGTAACCAAGTGCTATCCGGTGCCCGAAGCAAGTCTTTAGTAACCAAGCTATCTTTACCTAAGAACTCTATCCATAGAAAAACCTCACTGCTCAAGTTCTCTTCTTCCTTGTTTTCTTGGGAGAACTAGCTACGAGACCTTTTACACTTTTGTTCCTCGTGGAAACAGTGGCGGATGCAGAACATGATTGAAGGGGGGCTGGTCTCTTCTTCTTCCTCTCTCTCTCTATTTTTCTTCTTTCCTCCACCTCTTTTTCTCCCTCACCCTCCCCATATTTCCATTGATGCACCAGCTGTAGGGGGGCTGGAGCCCCCCAGCCCCCCTTTAGATCCGCCCCTACGTGGAAATACAATACCCTGAATACCACCGGGTGAAGTGCTACAACGGTACTTCCGTGCGCTTGCGGATTCTTTTGCTTACGCTAAGAAATACCAACATGCAACATAGCGCCACCATGAGCACTGTCTTCACCTCCTTGTCGTCCATGGACACCATGGCCGTGTCCACAGCCCCCAAGACTTTGCCCCGCACCACCTTCTCACGTACGATGTATGAGAAGTAGTCCTGAGTGAGGTCCGACGTCTCCAATGAGGGATACATGTTCGAGGAGCGTCATGCCGTAACGGAACACGTCGGACTTGTCGGACACCACGCTATAGAGCATCTCCGACGCCATATACCCGAATGTACCCTTGAGGTGCTCCATGTCGACGATGCTGTTGAGGCCACGGGTGATGGAGAGGGAGATGCCGAAGTCACAGACGTGCGCGCGGAGGTCGTGGTCGAGCAGGATGTTGCCTAGCTTGACGTCGAGGTGTAGGATCCACTAGTGGCACTCATTGTGGAGGTATGCGAGCGCCCTGGCCACGTCGATGGTGATGCAAAGGCCGCTGCTCCTCGGTGCTATGGAAGGTCCACCTGTCCAGCGAGCCATTCTCGAAGAAAGGGTAGACCAGGTAGAGGCCGCCCTTGCGTTGGAGGCAGTAGCCGAGGAGGCACACCAGGCTGTGGTTGTGCACATTGGCAATGATGGAGAGCTCTCTTCGGAAGTCCTCACCGGTCATGGTGTGTCCGCCGTGGATGTTGATCCTCTTGACGGCGACGGGCGTGCCGTCATTGAGGTTCCCTCGAAAGACCTGGGCAGAGCCGCCGCGCCCTATCATGCTCCCGAAGTTCGCGTGGCGGCACCGCGTCATCAGCATCAAGAAGGCAACTTTGGAGCCAAGGGTAAATCTTAAAGAGAATTAAGACATAGTACACGGATATAGCCACGATATTGGCCCAGAAAATGAAGGAGGGTTGAAGATATTTGTTTGAAAAAATGAAGAGATGAGGAAATTAAAGAAAGCAGAACAAGTATAAGAATTCTAGTGGAGATAATCTTCTTCTTCCGATAGGTGTAGATGTATGGGCAACCAATGGCATTGTAGGCTACTAACTGAATGAGCAGCCATACCGCAATATCTTGGTAATAATCGTCATCAGACTCATTAGATGAGCTGGGTTTGGGTTTATTTGCATAATAGGTTCCTATGATCACAGCCAATAGGATAGTTGCGATTGTTTCATGTAAGATGATTCTCACATTCTTTTTTAGCCTAGAGTGCCGGATAGTGAGGCCAAGCTTCAAGGCGCAATACGAGGATATAGCCACGATATTGGTCCCGGAAACGAAGTCAACGCGAAGACTGTGAACTGGAATTCCAACGGAGGAGACAAGGAAGACGAACTGAACAAATACAAGATATCCAGCGGAGATCATCTTTTTCTGCCAACCAGAGGAGTTGCAGATGTATAGGCAGGGTAAGGTAGGCTATGAACTGAATGACCAGCGATGCAACGGCATATCTATAAGTATCACCGAGATTGTAGTCGGCGCTAATATATTGAATGCGATAAAGATATATGTAGGCAAACATGATCACAAAGAATAGGGTAGTTACCATTACAACATGCACTATAGCAGACGCGTGCTTTGCCGGCAAAGCCCCTATTGCACTCGGCAAAGGCTTTGCCGAGTGCCGCACTCAGCAAAGAGCAGTCGGCAAAGAACCCGTCGGCAAAGGTTTCTTTACCGAGTGTCACCTCAGCACTCGGCAAAAAAAAATCCGACGTCAACTCTGACGGCCTCTTTGCCGAGTGCCACCTCAGCGGCACTCGACAAAGAATTTTTTCTTTTTTTTTTTGAAAATTCTTTGCCGAGTGCCATACTATTGCACTCGGCAAAGAAAATTTTTCTTTTTTTTTTAAATCTTTGCTGAGTGCCATGGCTCTGGCACTCGGCAAAGCTAGGAAATTGGGTCTCTGCTTCCCAGCTTTGCCGAGTGCCATGGTGGCACTCGGCAAAGAGGGAAAAATGCTATTTTTTTTGTTTTTTTGCTTTCCATTAGCACAAACAAAGAAATCACATATATATCAACACACAGCACAGGATATATCACATACACATCCATATTCCATCACATACACATCCATAACCCATCACATACACATCCACCATCCATAATACATCACATACATTCGCATCATCCATGACAATATCCATCACAATATATATATGTCTTTAATAGTAGTCCAACATAAGGCTAAGTCTAACACAAATCCATGCAACATGAAAAGAAACAAATAAACGGTACCTACTGCCAGCCTCCCCACCCAGAGTGTGAACTGCCACCTTGAGGAGGGCCAGTTGGACACCCGGCCTGTGGAGAAGGGCCACCTTGAGGAGTCCGGTTCGAACCCGCCGACTGTGGCTGCACAAAGGAGAAGCGAATTCATGAGTATCTACAGGAGGGCCGCACAAGCTAAAGGAATAAACAACCATATATACTCACCGGAGTCCCTATAGGAGGAGGAGCCACAACTGGAGCGAGCAGCGACTGGGGCACGACCACACCTGGCAAGGCCTGAAGGCTCGCCATGAAGCTAAACATGTCCTGTAGCCTCTGCACCTCGGGCGCCCTCTGGGCTTGTATAGCCTCCATCTCTAGCCGATGGGCCTCCGCCTGGGCCGCCTGCTGGGCCTCTAACTTCCGCAAGTCGGCCTACAACATTCCACCCGCAATGTTTAAACAATGCAAAGGCAAGGTAGATGTGTAAAAGCAATGAACGATGAATAAAATAGTACTAACCTAGAGTTCCGCCATCTGCTGCTGTGAGCTCTGCTGCCGAGAGCGTATGGGGAGGGAGGAGCTCATGCTCCTTGCTCGAATCTCGGCGAGGTTGGGAACAGAGGTGGAGTCGACTGTGCTGTCCGCCATCTAGTACCGGTCGTGCTGCTTCCCTCCTCCCATCCTCATCAGGAGGTTTGTGTCCAGGGGCTAGGTGGCCGGATCGAAGTCCTCCCCGTGGCGCTTGTGGGCCGCCGAGGTGTACTCGCTAAGCTTGCTGTGGACGCTCGCGTTGGTGTACGCCTCGGGCCCGTCCACCGGGTTGTAGGTGACTTCTGGGGCCGTCGCCTTGCCCTTGTGTGCCAGGGCGTACGCCATGAACTCGTTGCATTCCTGGCCTTGGTGCACCTGGGACTACGAGGAAAACACAAAGATGATTACAAGTAATGAGAATTGAGTGTTAGAATAAATAAATAAAGATGAAAACACAAAGAAGATTACCCATGTCTAGGCGTACGCGCTGAGGCTCCGGTTGCCTTGGTGGTGTGGCGCCCCACCCATCTGTAGGCGGCAGTCCCGATGGATGTTGTGCTTCTCCGCCCACTCCTCCGAGAGCCACCTGTCCACAATGGCCTCCCAGCAGAGGCGGTGCCTGGCGCACCAATCAGGACATTGCAGCATGCCATCAAGTTATCGATATGTCAGAAGATGAAATAAAGCCTACCTATTCTTCATGGAAGGAGTCAGTATTAATGTTTCGTACTTACCGAGAGGTACTACTCCTTGGTGAGCGTCCTGGTCCTGGCATCGGCCTTCCTCACCACCTGACCAAGGACGTCGACGCTGTAGTTGATGATGCACTAGAGCCACGTCTCGTGATACAGGTCTGAGAGTCGGGACCTACAGACCTTGTCCTACACTCGCGCCGCCCGGTCCTCAAACCCTTCATCGCACCTAAAGAAGTCCTGCATACAGACATCATGTATCGTTTCATTATTTCAAGAATGACTAATGAATGCGTAGTATTGACCAATTTAGTGCGATGCAGACTCACCTAGAACTCGGCCTTGATCCGTGCCGCAACGGTGTCGAACTCGCTGTCCTCGGCGGCGTAGAAGTGGTCCCACGTCTAGGGCGGCAAAGTCACCGAGGCGTAGGTGACCTTGCCAGGGTAGTGCTGCCGAATCAGAAGGCCCAGGGTGCCATTGATGTGCCGGCCCATTCCGGACACAACTTCCCAGTTGATGCAAGAGTCTTTAAGAATTGTTAGTCTCTGGTTCAATTTTCAACATGTCATATGAAATAGTAGTGAAATAATACTTACTTGTCGCCGCTGGGTCAAATCACCGGGCGCCGGTGAAGTGGGACCGCACAAGTAGACTCCCGACGAGGTAGAGCCAGAGGCAGTGCAAGTGGAACCCCCTGCTGTCGCTATCATCGCCTCCCCGTGGTCCGACAAGTCAGAGGAAGTGCCACCCCCTCCTATGTGCAGGCCCACTGCCTGGTCGTCCTCGTCCACCGACGGGGTGGCAGCCGGCTACACCCTCGTCCTCGGACGGCCACGGGGGCAGCCGGTCCTCGTCCTCCTCGTCGGCGGCTCCGGCAAGGGGTCCTCCTCAGCGTGGGGTGGTGAGCGCTCCCTCATGTAGAGGGAGTTGACCCCTCGACGGGCCTGCCTTCCGCCCGGCATTTTGTCGAGTGCCTGCAATTTCAAAGAGTAAACCAATTAGCACAATTAAATTACAAGTACTTATAAAGAGATGCAAAATGAACGAAACAAAATTGCAATAATAATAATAATAATAATAATAATAATATAGTATTACATGAATTAGAAATATTCTTCACGATCGGTAGCGGCTGGATCATAGGTGTCGTCATCACTATCAATATTGTTGAGTAAATCGGGCTCATCTCCATCGTTGTCATCATTGTCATCGCCTAACTGTAATCGCTCAAGCATTTGTAAGTCCTTAGCATTTTGCACCTCTTCTCCGTCATCCTCATCTCCATCGTCCTGATCAATGTCATTGTCTACTTCCATGCCCATCAGCGAAAACATGTCTATGTCAAACCTCCCTTCTAGCCCCTCTGGTTGATAGAACTCCCGTGTGTTTGGGTCAAAGTTGTAATCCTCATCGTTTGGGACAGGCAGTTTACCGTGCGGCGATACCAACTGCAAAAGGTACCAACCGATAAGATTGGGGTCTTTTTGGCATGCCCATGGAAGATAATAAACTTGCGTGGCCTGTTGAGCCACAATATAGACATCTTCTCCTTGATAGATAGAATCCTGTCGAATTTCAACTTGTCCAATCTCAGGGGCTGTTCTCGTGATATTAGGATCGAACCAATGGCATTTGAATACGACTGGATTAGGAGCTTTGCGACACTCAAAATTGAGCTTGTATATTTCTTCTACTATGTCGTAGTAGTCGCGCTCATCGGTGCCGGGCGTACAAACTCCGGTATTCGTGGTTTTCCGATTGGGCCGACTCCGCTCGTAGTTTCTTGTGTGAAAGCGATAGCCATTCACATCATAAACGGTGAATGACTTGACCTTGTAGGCGAAGCCTTTGGCGAGCCCTTTCAACTCAGCATCCATTTCCTCATCCTTGCGGGCCTGCAAGGTGAGGCCGGATAGATCGTTACATTACTCGCTAGTAGGAGCAAAGATGTCAAAGATTGAACGAGGTAAATTGGACGTTACCTTCGTATCGAACCAAGATATAAAATTGGGCACATCATCTTTGAGAAGACTATCTTCTTCTTGAGGGGAAGGAGCCATATTCCCTCTCTAGTATTTATTCAGAAATTCCCTGAAAAAACAAGAGATAAGGGGGTTGGATAGATGGAGGATAGTGACAAGGGCGTATGTAACAAGCTCATTGAGAACTTACTGCACATAAGGCTTCACTTCATCAAGGTTCAACAACACATGCAGCATGATAGTGCGCCACTCATCATGCCGCAAGGTCTTGGTGCCCGATGCGCTTGCCTTTCCGAGTTGCCCTTTGAAAAGGCTGAGGTTCGATGAACTCTCGTCCACGTTG